TCGCAATCACTCGCCTTCTATTTTGAAATGGACAGTAGACACACAGAACCAAACATTAAAACGAAGCAAAAGTAGAATGTAATTACATCCCAGGTCGAACAATCGTACTAAGATCGCACGATTGTGCTACCAAGTGGTAGTCATATACACTTGACTCAGGAGAGTTCTTTTTTTTCTTTATTTCTATACAACTTTTGTCCTATATGCTAGAAATAATATGCAGTAGCAATATGGTTCCTGTAAGGTTGCGGGGAAACTACAACATCAAGACCATCCGAAGTTTCGATGTCCCAAAATGATCGTTGTAGCACTTGGCTAATGAGCTGCTAACATCTTGGTTTAGTGTTGTAAGTGATTATACATAACTATGGCACCGAAAATGAAGAGTCGAAAGTTTTTTCAAGATATACCTGCGTAACAGCTGTTTAAAACCCTCCCTCCGCAGAATAGAAGCTACGGGGGCTTCTAAACTGTCCAAGCGTTCAAAATTTTTAGGAAGGGGGCTTCTAATACGTCCCACTATTTTTCAAGAGTTTCACGTACAAAAATTTTGTAACAACTTTTAGAGTTTTCCAGAGCTTTTCGAAGGGATTTCAAGGGAACTTCGAGATTCTCACGCTGGTTATGTAAAATTTAAACGAATTTTTACCTTAAAATCCTAAAAGTTTGACAGTTTTTACTGTAGAAATACTAATAAAACTTTCAAACTTTTTTTCAAATGAGCGGGGCTTCTAATACATTTTTCACGGCGACCCCTCCAAGAAGCGCTTCTAATAGGAGAGAGGTTTACTCTAAAATTTGCAGATATGTTCCTACACTTGCATGAAAAATGTCAGCATTTCTCTTTTATACTCTTTTGGATTTTTGCTACAAATCCAGTTACGTGCGACACAATTCGGTCTTGATGCAAAAATTCAATATTCCAAAATGCAGTATCAATTGTTTAATGTGTAAGGCCATACACATTATCTCTCTATAATGCATTTAATGAGTTTTTTGTTTGTTATATAACGTTTGTGGCACATTTTTACACACCGGTACACTATTTGGTGTACACATTTTTAACAGTGAAGTAGCTATACAAATTTGTAACTTTAATTGTAGCAAAGATCCAAAAGTGTGTAAAACAGAAATGCTGTCATTTTTCGTGCAAGTGTGCACAGTAAAATCACCGTAAAATGTGTCGCAGCTCTTTTGGGAAATTGTGTCGCCATTACTAAGAATTTTTGGACACAGTTCTTGAGGTCATTTCAGGATCTGCTCTGTACAAAAAATTGCTAAATTTTATGTTATACTATTCAAAATAGGCTTCATTAGGATTTTTCTCGGTTGCTCTTCAGTTTTGGTGAGCTATAGATGGTGGTAGAAATACTCAGCGGAATGTGTCACAGCCTCAATGGAAAAAATGTGTCGCAAGTGGCTCCCGGTGCTGCAGATGATTATGTCGCAATTTGTGCACATGCGACACATTATTTTTTAGTGTCCTATAGGAACAAATCTGGAACTTTCAGAGTAGACAGCTCTTATGCAAATAAATCTTGAAAAAAATGTCGTCTCTTCGTTTTCGATGCTGTATTATAAGAAAAACAAGTTTCAAGTACAACACTTTCTATAAATAATGCAGGGAAAACGCTCGGCATGGCCAGATAATTCTGCTACCGGAGTGAAATTCTATAACGAAATTTTGACATTTTTCTTTGTATACATTTTTTTTTACAAGAGCACGTGCAGTGCTGTGGAATGTCTAGAATTGTAAACCAAACGTTTCTCTACAAAATGAGGCGTGTCGAGGCTCTGGACGTTTCTTTGTTTAAACAATAAATGGTAAATACTAAATGCTACTTTCGCAAAATGAAGCTTCAGAAGGGCGTTTTGTATTTTCCTTTTATTTTTTAAACAAAGAAACGTACAGAGCCTCGAGACGCCTCATTTTGTAGAGAAACATTTGATTTACAATTCTAGGTGTTCCACAGCATTGTACATGCTTTGGTTAAAAAATATAAACACAGCAAAATGTCAAACTTTCGTCGCGGAATTTCATTCCAGTAGCAGAGTTATCTGGCCGTGTCGCGCTTTCCCTTTAAGCAAGCTGCATAGGAAAAAGTCTATTGATGTTTTTTTCGTACGAGCATTGCTTCTTACTATCAGCAAAATATCTATTCAAACATCGTTGAACAAGTTTTCCTCGTTGGAAGAGTTATATTAGAATTGTTTGTTTAGGTTATTATTATGGATATCCGTTTGCGAATGGTTGCATAACTAAAGCTGCTAGCGTGGGCGTTGTTATAACATCGTTGATATTAAGTGCACTGAGCTTAATTATGATTGTAGTATGTTACTGACATCATCTGATTGATATTTATATTTGTATAATCTATTTTATATATCACTTTTAGTTTATAGTATCTTATATGTTATTACGCAAAAAGAAAAGGCGCTCTCATTCACGACTCGGAACTCGATACAATATTCGTGAGCAAGAAGAAATGAGAGTGAGTTAAATCGAACAACTCATGTCCTAACAGTTTTGTTAACTCTTATTGTAGATGATAACTGACTTAGGTGAGTGTTTGGGCTGTTTGTGTGACAATTAAGTATTTTCGAAATATATTGTTTTTGTTAGAAAAAAATACTTTATTAGCAAATCAACGTGTCGTACTATTCTCAAGTCAAGATCGAGATAAATTCTGACAAAGCTCGATTCCGAAAATTATTCAAGATCTATCTATTATTCTTGGCAGGACCGACTTCATTAAAAATAAATAGAATAATGAGAAGTACACAAACTTAATTATGTGCTTAAAAGCGTTTTATTTAGTTTCATTGTTAAAATGGGACTGTTTGAACATGAAAGATATAATCTAGACGAAATCTACTTTACGATCGTACCTAAATATATACGCTGACAATGTTCTATCTGCATTCTTGAAACAAAACCCAGTCAGTCATAGTCATTCCGAAAACTGCAGGATTACGAAAAATTTTACGCGTTTAGCGAATTGGTAGGACAAACACGCAAGGAGCTGCAAGTGTAGAGAAAATAACACGCAGGAAGTGTACGTTACCAGGGAAATAGAGGCTTTGCTCGCGTGTTATTTTCCCTACACTCGCAGCTTCTTGCGTGTTTGTGCCACAAATTTGCTAAACGCGTAAAATTTTTCGTAATCCTGCAGTGTTCGGAATGACTATGACTGACTGGGAAGGCTTCGCAAAAGGTTGACGGGATAGAATGTGAAAGTCATTTTCGAAACGTCGAGTATTTTCTCTATATTCGTAATGGAATAAGGATTTAAAAGATTTTTCTCAAGGTGCAAAGTCTAATCAGTATTAAACCTATTTCTTCGCTCCAAAACTAAATTGTGAAAATGTATTCACATCAATATTTATCTTCAGTTAACCTGCTCTTTTTTAATAAACTAAAAAACTTGGAAACGTCTTTTCAAGAAAAATGAAGCTGTCAGATAATGTTTTACAGCAAAGGTTGCCCATGAAAAATTTCAGCTCGCCTGACGTTTCCACCTTTCAGAGTTGCTTTTTGGTTAGCGGGAAGATATATCTTAATCCAGAAACTTTTAAAACTTGTTAGATCAAACCTAATTATAGATTTGAACTCTTCATGGTCGGTTATGGTGCGCGTAACAAATTTGGGTTAAGATACTGTTGAACATTACTCCCCACAGCTGAACTCAATAAATTTTTAAAAATTTCAGAAGATATTCTATATAAATTAACAGACTACTATACCAGCAACTACCATAGAATCCACTGTTATTGCTGTGGAGAGCAATGGCTCAAAGTATTGAGTCAGACTTTGTTTCAATCTCTGTGAAAATCTAGATATTCAATTTTGTTCAAAAAACTGGATGGACTCTTCAAGCACGTGCAAACTTCACGAAAAAACCATGAACCAAAGAGACGCTTTATCGGACGTCGTCGTTGTATGTGTGACTGAAGGTGTTATATAATCAATCTCTTTCAAGTGACATATTTATCATGCATAATAATTCATGTTTACTAACTGTCATTCTGGATTATGTGACGTATCAACGCTGACAGTAGAGCAACATGAAAATAACATTATTCTGTAATTCTCGAAAATACTTTAGTTAGCCCAAACTGAACTATCCATTGGTAAAAAATTAAATAAATTCTTTTGAAAACATGAAAAATGGAAGTTCATAGCAGTTTTACTTGATTCCTGTTCAATTCTCCTCTGGAGCTAAAGAGTTAATCTTGAATAATTATGTGTTTATCGTGAGAATCAGTGTATGATCATATATGACAACCAAATGTTCTCTTTAATTACCGACATTATTCAATAACTAAGCAAAAAACTGCGAAAATTGAAATGATAAATGAACAATAAATGTTCAAATAAACAATAGTTTTGAATCTATTTAGCTGGTTCAACGCAAATAAGACTACCACACACATTTGGACAGCATTTTGCCGTACATGATTTTTTACATTCATGATCTACATCGCAGAAATGTACATCACACAAATACCATAATGGATGAGTGCTATTTGTTGGGCATTTGCCTTTTTTTGGTATATTAATTTTAGGAGGAACACAATGGTACCCACATGGTGTAACTGCTGGACTGTAGCAGCATTTCAAATATTTGACACAATCAGTATCATTTACACACGTATCATTACATGGACCATTTGGTATGATAAAACCGAAGCCAGGACAAATTCGTTCATATTTATCTCCATGAACATGCAATATTGCCCACATAAATAGAACACAAAATAAGACTGGAATGTACATTATTTAATTGATCTAAAAAAATCAAGCAGCATGTACCTAGTAAAGGCCCTAGAGAATGTCCAGTTTCCCTGATCAGACGACTGGTCAGCAAACTGTAAGTAAAAAAGTCTGTTCTGTTTTCTTGATCAGGATCTGTTTTTTTCCTGATCAGTAAAAGAAATCAAGAACAGGACCTGCTTTTTTGGATAGTCATAAGTATTTAATATACTTCGGCGTTAAAAGTGACTATAGCTTTTTCAGATTTCCTTACATCATGTTTTACTCGGACTTTTCTTCGAGAACATGATGTAAACAGTTTTTAAGGTTTTTATCAGCCCCCCTTTAGGACCTCACAATCTTTATCTGCAAATGAAAAAGACATGTTTTTACGAAATTCATACATCAAAGACAAAGGATTCTGTACGAGTACACAGCAATTTTGGCTCTCTAATGCCTCGTGTAAACCCTCCTTGCATTTTCCCGCCATAATGTTGAACTATGTTCGATCTGTTTTTAAAAAGTTAATAATAAGCTCTGGGACTTCAGTCAAGAAATTTTCTATCTTGGATGAGGTTTTCTATTCCCATGTTCTTCTCAGTTATTAAATTAATTGAGCCTATACATCAGAGAAGTACTCATATCCGATGCACACTTCTTGAGAAAGGCGCATTTTTGAATATCCAGAATAGGTAAAGGAAAAATGTTCAACTTTGCAATAATAAGTTTGGCAAGGATTTAAACAGGGATCCCAGATCCAAAACACGAAAATCAGAAAATCTGAGAAAAAGGAGTAGAAAATTATTTTCTGACTGGATAAGAATGTAGGGCAAACATTTCTCTAAAAATGAGAGGTTGGACAGCTCTGTATGATTGGTTTTGAAATTTCGACAACGATGCCTCCATAAGAGCGCATCTTGTCGTATGTTATAAAGAAGATCTGTTATACGCTAAAGCTCTAATGTCAGAATTGTTCTTCAGCGCACAATATACACAGAAGGGAAAGAAAAAAAGCAAAAAGACGACGTGCGTCCTTTAATGATAAAGGACGTGCATAATGATGTGCATCCTTTTCTGTTTTGGCACAGCTGATAAAAGAAACATTTTAAATGTAAAATGTCTCTTTTTTGACCAAACTTTTAACATTTACATTTGTTGCTACAGACCTAACAATGAAAACGTGTCTGCCGTATAGCTTATACAAAAATTTGGACTACATAAACTATATATACATCGATCTATAGAATTATCTATATAGATATAAATGTTCACGTGGAAAAAGAACCGAAAATAAATTCTCTTGCGTTCTTGCAGTTAGACAAAAAAGTACAGCCTATCCAACCATGATCAGTGTCTGTTTCTTTGAAAATCTCACGACCAGTCCAAACTTACTGTTTATCTGATCAGCAGAAAAGACAGATTTTCTTCACCTGTTCTTATCACTTTCTTGGTCTGGTCTTGAAGCTGATCAGGACAAGAATGTAAAAAGAGGAAACAGACAACTGTGAGTAAATAAATCTTCTCAAGACCAGATAAACTGGACATTGTCTAGAGGGGCCTTTTCGTCAAATATCTATCACAATGCACGTAAACCTCTCCCCGTAATAGAAGACTAGATGATCTTTTATTTTGTCCAACAACTCAAAACTTTGTGGTTAATCTTCTATTGAGCTCAGCTTTTCCCTCACGGTTCATGATTCATGACCCGATTAATAATCGATGTTAGTGTATTCAGCAAAGTCGTTCAGAATCAGTTATAAAAAATCATTCAGAGCTGCCGAATGTCTCATTTTGTAGAAAAATATTAAATCATCATAACCCTAGAGAACGTCTTGAAAACGGAATGAACAGCTATTTACTTACAGATGTTTGTTTTCTGTTTTTTCTCTTGTTCAGCTCCAAGACCAGAATAAGAAAGTGATAAGACCAGGTCAAGCTTTTTTTATATAAACAGTAAATCTAGGTCTGGTCTTGACTTTTGTAATTCGGTCTTAGTATTTTCTAAGAAACGAATACTGATCAGATCCCAGAGCGAGCCAGATTTTTTTTTTATCTTAATTACCGTTTTGTTTTGCGAAGTCACGTAGTAAATAGTAACCACTAATTTATTCTCATCGGTGATGTGTATTTGTCTTAGAGATTTCTGTGCTGAACAAGAGATAGTTAATGTCATTCGGAGTCTGATGGTCACATTGGAAGCTACTCAGAGTGTCTCCAGAAAACTTGTTGAGTTTCTACCGATTTCTGCGAAGCATGGGCGATTAGCGAGCAGCACACCTGATTTTTGAGCAATCAATCAGCGATTAGAAAATTTTTCATGTATATAATCCACAACAAGCACGCGATCTTGGTTTCTTCCACTTATCAAGAGAAAAACAGGTGATCAAGAAAACATGCAAGGCCTTTTTTTTACTTGATATCTAACCAGACGAAGTGGACAGCCTTTAGAGAAGGTCAAACTCAAAATCTTCTGAAAATCTGTTCCAGAAAAATTAAATATCTAAACGGTTAATTCAAAAATCTGGCTTCTTGACGTCCCATCATCGTCATATCCTTTGTCCTTGATTAAACAAATTCTCTCATTCTGATGTCGAAACTGTTATTTTCCTTACAAACAGTGTCCTTACAAATACTGTTATTTTCCTCCCATTCTAGTGAAAAGTTTCCTGGCCAACCCCAACTAAACTCGATCACTCCTTAAAGTTTTTTGGTCCCGATCAAGACGGTTTTGAAAATTCTTGTGTTCGCAACTCTTTCGTTGATTAATTGGTGTAAACGTATGTACAATACTTAGATTCATATTCTCATGACTTCTTGTTCCTATTTTTTTCAACCTACACTGAGAAACATACAGTATCCCATATAGTAGAGACGCATGCTCTATATCTCGATCTGTGACAGTTACCATTAGCATTCTAGTAACTGTAACTGCTGAACAGTTGACGTTCTTGCTAACGGTAACGGGTAAGCAGTTACCGTATAAGTGCTTTCAGATACAAATGATCACCAAAAAAAGATACTTTTAACCACCAAATTTTTCGACTTGTCTCAATTACACGCAACACTTTATACAGAAAGAAACTCTGGGCAGGATTTGACTGCAGTGCTCATTGATTACAGTGAGTGAAATGGATAAGCATACAATAACAATATTTTCCTTCCGTTGTTTGTATTATTGAAACGAAAGCTAGGTAAAAATTCTTCGAATTGGCTCAATGGTTAGTATCATGTCATGAAAAGTATTGATGCTGCAGCGTCCAAACGATTTTTAATTAAAACACAGACCATTTTTTCGAAAATTAAATAAAATCATAAAGCACTAAGCATAAAAAATAAGATAGAAACAAAATGTAGAATAAGTAATGTTTTATAGGGATTGTATTATTGCATTCAAATGTATGAGAAACTACGGTCAAGGATAGTAAGTAACAGATTACTACTGTAAGAGGAAAAACGATAGCCATATGTGCAATACGATCGCGGTTTTTGCCATTTAAAAGAGAAATAAAAATGTGAGATACATGCTGAAAAATTTGCTGATCAAAAGTCAAGGAGGAAAGCACGGAATCCTGAATTCCCCTGGATTCCCTATGATTCTTTAGGATTCCAAGGATTCTCTAGGATTCTGAAGGATTCCATAGGATTCTCTTCGCTTCCTTAGAACTCCTCTAGATTTTGAATAAACTTCTAAAACTGTCAAAGGACACCATCTGTATCACCCTCAGGTTTCCATTCTGATATCTCTTTTTCGTTTTTCTTTATTCGATTCGTTTGTAGTTATTGATATATGTATATATCGATGACTCGTTATTTGTTTGCTGAGTTTTAGTTCATAGGATCACACTACCTCCACTAAAAGCTTTGCGATCGAGCCGTTCCCCTCATTTATCTATCAACAGATTCAGATCGATTAATCTTTGTTAAGTATACAGCATATACTTAGCGCACTAGTCCAAAGCATGTTTTGTACATAGTTCTATTCACATGTTTTGTTTTTTATTTTATTTTGAGGTCGTAATATAGTTTACAGTCCATAGTCTACTTCTTTCTCTCCTTACCTATATTTGTTATCATTGACCAGTCCTTATCTCTGGTTATTTTTTACCTTATCCTAGGTCTCCTTCTTTTCTTTGTTCGATTCATACTCGTCGTCTCTTTCGACAATGCGTAATTCTTTAAGAAAACAGCACTATTCTCGAGTAAAAACATTATTCCCGTGGCCTATGCAATAAACCTTCTATGAAGACATACAAAATTCTCGTAAAGATAGATAGCATAATACGTTGGGGACGATATCCATAATTGTCACACAAAACAGCATAATTCTCGTGTAAAAGCATGACCCATGAGCCATCGAAATTGGAGATGGTACATACTCAGATCCTTTCAGAATGCCGAATTTCAACATCGACTTACGTCAGTCAAAACGTTCTGTCACTCTCCACTATTTATTCATAAGAAACACGGTCCATTGCTCTGTGTACAGCAAATATTAGATGTAGGCATTATAATGTCGGATACAGTTTCATCGTTCCAATCCACTTATAGCTCATAGATTGATGGCTTAGACTTCTTCTGCAACCAGGCTAGTGTTCACAAATCATCTCATTTATCAACTGGGTAGTCAGAAATCATTAACACGAAAATATGTTAGTATACATAAGCTTAGGTCAACTGAATATGTCCAGGTAGTTCAAATCTTTTCACTGTTACGCCATGAATAAAACGGTCAGAAACAATTGAAGTAAAGTTTATGGTGGCTTGTACGTGGAAAACGCTGAAGTTCGTTCATTTTCTATTGAAAGTGCAATAAACTGCTGTCCTATTAAAAACTTCTGCTGTCTCCTCTCCGACAGAGTTCTTAAAAATGCCACCAGACGCTAACATATTGTACGAAGAAAAAGTGCCACGACGTTTTCTGGGGCGACAGATGGGACATTTGTGAACGTCGTATGCAGGTCGCTTTGAAGTGCTCTACCCTGGGAAGCCTTTTTTATGAAAAAGTACTTCATAGTGCGTGGACT